CCGATCATTTGATGGGGGGAAGTTTCATGTGTCGTCAGAATCTGTGATGCCAAGAGGACAAGAGATGAGAGATGAGATCTAAAACTTACCCCCTGAGATCTGCCCCCTGCATTTGTATATTGTGGCAAAGATTGTTTAAAAAGGAAATAGATCATGTCATCTACTTCAGAAATACATGCTATAGCTCAATTAGAGATTCTGTGCACCCTATAACATCCCAAAATCAACATTGAAATGACTCCCACTTATTTGTGAATATTTGTTACTGTTTAACCTGTATATCAATAGTCATTTAATTGATCAGATGTAAAATCTATCATCTATTTCGTTTTTGCAACTGTTTATTTGTGTTTGTTTACCAGGAACATAACATCACCATGACCACGGAAATGAGGAGTACCCATCACAAAAGAAATCATGTTATTTGTGGGGAGGCGCAATGCCTGCAACTGATTTGACCGGATGACTAAGTGCACAGCCACACAAATCCTGCCAAATGTCTCGTTTATCTTCCCAAATAATTTCCTCGTGTTCCACTACAATTTCTAGGCTGGTAAAGGCATAGTAAATGTATGTATGTTAGATCACAATGTGAATGTGCGGTAAAATTGAATTGGTGACTATGCTAGGTCATCATGATAGTCAGAGTCTTGTCAAAGTCATAAAATGAGACTTGTTTTCTGGCCTTTTATCTGCTGTTTGTAGTCAGATAGTTCATGCTTGAGGTCATATAAAATTTTCCAAATGAAGACACCATGTTTTCCGCTTCCTTGTCACATCTGTTGGGCCAACGAGCGAGATCTGCCTTGTGCATTGGAGCACCACTTTTGGCCTTTGGGCAATGCTTTGCGTCATGAAAAGTTTCTGGGAGTAATTTGGGTAGTAGAGATAATGTAGAGTGGCCCTAATAGTCATTGAGAATGTGTATCATCAACGCATTGACGCGACGCGACACCTCCTTCGCGTGATTATGTAATCTAATTTAGCGCATTTCGCAGGCAGTTTTGAAAACAAAATAACTACTTTGCACGGGCAATGGGCCTTACACTTTATAGTAAGACTACACTTTATTTTTCATTGTTCAGGGAATGGCCCGAGAATATCAAAAATAATCTTACTGCTCCCCATAGATCAGGGAGATATCTACACCTCATCATTGACTTGCATTGGAAATTCTCGGGCCATTCCCTAAAAAACTTGTTTTAGTCCCAATTTGTATATCAATATTTCCGGATATTGTGCTGGGTCATGCAGAATATTGATTTTCCTTGATTCTCGTCCATGTATAGGGAGACCAAATAGGTGCAAACACAAATTGATTTCGCAGGCATTGCGCCTCCCCATTATTTGGATCAAAACTCGCTGAGTTATACATGAATCTGTATTTATTACCGAAAATGGTAACTGATCTGAGATCTACTATGACGCACGAAACTGTCCCCCATCAAGCGATCGGGAAATGTTCGTGCGTCATCGCTTCTTGAGTTCCAAGCGTTGCCTAAAGAAAAATGTGTAACTTTACCAAATCAAGTCCAATTCAGATGAAATAAAATGCAGAAAAAATGTAAAATTTCAGGGATCATACCTGTATACAATTCATTATGTAATAAGGTCAAAGTCCAAATAAACATACTTTTTCAAAGAAGAATCTGAAGCTCACCAACATAAAATCTAAAATAAATGAAATAAAACACCAAGAAAAATACAGTTTGTTTTTATGTATATTATGTAATAAAAGCTATGTGCACAAATAGATATATGTTTGCACAAAATCAAGCTAATGCAAGCTTTTTCAAATAAAGAAGTAGCAATAAATTGGCACAAAAATTAGAAGAAAATGGCTGATGGTGCTCACTGTTGGTGACAACATTTGAAAACACTCTCAGGGTCTCTGGTAAATTTCCGTATATGGCACTCAGCATTTGTCCAACTGAAAAATAGCAATTAAATGGCAGAAAAAATGGAAAACAATTGAAGAATGGTGCTAACTGTTGATGTTGATGTTAGGACTGTTTCAAGGGTCTCAGGTGCATTTCCTTATATGGAAATTTATTCAACAATTGCCAGAAAATAACACAAAAATCAGAGAAAGTTGGAATATGGTGCTCATTGTTAGCAATGATGTTATGAGTCCTCTGAGTTTATAAAGACACTAGTTTGTTACTCTCTGATCTCAAGGATTTTTTCAGTACTTCTAACACTGAATCTTGCCTTTCTTCCCATAAGATTTGATGGTTTGATGATGTTGTCAAACATTTTTTGAAAGGAACAATAGTGATAAAAACAGAAGACAAATCAGGAACAAATGGGGGACAATATGCATTGTTGATGACAATGTTGGGGACCATTTTCAGAGTACATGGCATATTTTCAACTGAGGTAATGTGCACTTTTTGAATCAAAAAATGGCAATATAATAGTAGAAAAATCAGAAGGAAATTGAAGGAAGATGCTCACTGTTTGTGCAATACTGTGGAGCATGTTCAGGGTCCAGAAGAAAATTCCATACATAATAATCTAGTTAAAAATAGCTATAAAGGACTGGAAAAATTTAGTGAAAAATGGAGCATAGTACTTATTGTCGCTTTCAAGGTAGGGACTCTCTGTAAGGTCCAGTATTTTATATACATGGAAATATACAATTTGTCCAATAAAAAATAGCAATAATATATATATATAATGGGTATAGATCTGATGGGCTTTCAGGAGGTGGTCACATGCCCAGTTTCCTAAATAATGAAAAATGTGAATGCTGTGGTGCTGCATTGTGGCTTCCTGAATATAAAAAGGACTCGTATCTGCCATGCTTGCAATGGCCCTCTTACACAAGTTGATATATCATAATTTGATGTCTTTCCCCTCATATAATGCTGCTGTGACTGAGCCTTGATCACAGAGTGTGTTTTGGGGTGTGTATTAGCATGACTTGGCCACTCTGAAACTTGATATTTAGGTAGAGGTATTGAAAGAACAATTTTGGTGACGTAAAGTGTTACAAAAGCTATTCAAGAGGAAAAGAAATCATTGTCCATCTTTTTTTCAATCATTTGTGTAACTTTATTGAAGCCTGGGTAGAGGGGGGATTTAATCCAGGATCCAAGAGCCATTTCTGCTTTGAATGTTTGAGAGTTGATATTGTGCTGGGTAAAATTGATCTGATGGTGACCAGTGGAGAATGCTTGCTCTGCATCCACAGAAGTAGCTGCAACAATTGTTGAAAATAAAGGAAAATAAGTGTGAATAACGGTGCTTACCTGGGGCTGAGCAGAAATCAGAACCCATTCGTGAGAGTTGTGGTCAGGACTGTGATGCATTGTGCCAATACTTTACCATCCCCCATGCAATCCACATGGACTCCACTGGATTCCACCAGCCTTCACTGGACTTCACTATATATTGAGACTTCACTACATACTGTCACAAAACTGGACTCCACTAGACTATCCAACACAAAACTGGACTGGGCTGGACTCCACTGCTGTACTCAACACAAAACTGGACTAGACTGGACTCCACTGCTGCACCCAACACAAAACTGGACTCTACTGGACTGCCAACTGTATCCAACACAAAACTGGACTCCACTGGACTGTCAACTGTATCTCTAAACTCCATTACACTGTTATCTGTAT